CTTTAGTCACTTCAGATCTCTCCAACATAGGTGACATCCTTAATAACTCATATCATTGCATCATTGCTGGATGATCGTCATACTCGATTCCGAGTGACACCAGCAAAGTAGTAGTAGTAGTAGTAGTGAGAGAGAGAGAGAGAGAGAGAGAGAGAGAGAGAGAGAGAGAGAGATGCAAGTGATAAGAAGCTGCCTATATTGCTACTTTCAACCCTCACCTCTACCCACCTCTCCGCCACCTTCCGAGTCCGAAAGTTCGAATACAAAAAGGTGGTTAGGATTCATTAACAATTACCAGTACATTTGGAGGTACTCATGAATACAGTCCTTGCATGACTCCTAATGTGTAAGCAATGTAAAGCATTATAAAAGAAAAATAATACTTTCAGAGTACTCAGTCTCGGGCTTATAGATACATATGCTAATATGCATGATATTACACACACTAGGAACATACAGTATATCAGGCAGTGACCATCCCTATTCTAGTAGTAAAATGTACAGACTACCTGCTACTCAAGAAAGCATTGAACAGCACAATTTATGGAACTGAAAAATATTTAGTTTCTCTGTGATATTAATCTTTCAAAAGTCTTGCCTTTGACATATTTTTCTTTGTGCAAAATCTTGACAGAAAATTAGTAAAGTTAACAAAATAAATATGGGACTTAAAACCCCTTAAAAATCAACTTACTGATGGCTTCATACCTATTCTTAAGAGTCTAGTTGCTTTTATTTGTTTTTCCTTAAATGAATAGGTTTTCACTAATATAGCAAATGTAAATGTTTCGAGAGAAAATCTAAATTCATTTCACCCACTCAGCGATACGAGGCTACTTTAGGCACCAACAACCTTTTCTTAAAAAATTGGGAAAACAAATATTCATTTGATTTTCAGTTACACCTCTGATAATATTGAACTGTGAAAAATCAAATAACTAATCTTTTCAAGTGCATATTTCTGGGACCAATGGCGCTCCTCCCGAATGAGAAAATTTTATTTGCCAGCTTTTGAGATCTTGCTCTTCAAAAGTTGTAAAACGAGGAATAGGTCCTGAAATCCTGTTATATAACAAGCTGGAGTCGAGCACCTCCGTATAGTCAGCAAGTCAAGAGGTTGAATCGCGAGTCACTAACTTGTGACTGGAATCTAAAAATCGATGAAATTCGAAAATTAGACACTTGCCCTGGAGGCAACCTAAGAGGGGAGAGGCTTCAGCTTCAGCTGCTGAACATAAACTATGATAATGTTGCTGTTTGTTGATTACAAAGAGGCTTCATAAGGATCAACACATAAAATCCAACTTGTCTCACAGATCCAGAGGAAGGAGTGAAGAGGGAGGGATAAGGAGTTGCTCAATCTCTTGCTCAATCTCGGCTCAGTTATAAAATGGGATTTTAGGATCAATTTCTCTTTCTGAACTTATTCCGGGCTCGAGCGACTCTATAACTAAACCCAACTGGAATGAAAGGTCGGATGAACCAATAACTTCCAAGGGATGTTCGGCTTGCATCACACACACACACACACAGACACACACACTCAATATATACATGAATGTGTATATGTGGTTATATATCTTGTAACCAACTCTAATATACAATACCAAACTCTCTCTCTACTCTTTAAATTCTCTTTAATACTCTCTCTTAAACTCTGTCATTTTCTCTGTCATACCTTATTATCAGACTCTGTCATATTTTAACAAACTCTTATGTAGTTACTATTAAAGTCCATCAAACTATCCATTATATAAAATCTATGTTAATTTTCCCTTTTAAACTTTCTTTCCAGCAAGGTCTTATTTACCTGACTTTCTCACACCTGACCCAATTTACAACTGGCTTACCATACATTTGTCTCACCTCACACCTGACTCACCTCACAACTGAATCACTTCACAAAACACATAATGAAATGAAACACAACTATATTAAATCGTCATATATCGTTAACAAGTGACTTAAGAAAATTTTTTTTATATCAAGCAATGCGTTCGAAGACGTCCACCAGACAGGACTACCAACACAAACCACCACCAAAACAAAAGAATAAACGAATTATATTACGTTACCCTTATACTCTTCTCATTCACTTCAATGTTGTAATAATGTGCTGTATAGACTGTAGGTAAACTCAATAGGAGGAGACAATTCAGACAACTTAATGCTTCATGTAAATTTAATAAATATAAGAATGAAGTGGGACCGGTAGGTTACTTAAAGAACTACCCATATTTTTAAAGGTTAGTTTTCTTCAGTAAATAAGTGAAAACAGCAATAAAATGTAAATATTTTAACATACTCTCTTTTTCACTCCTCGGTCATGTATTGGTCTATTCAATAATTATAATTGTTTATTGTGTAACTCATAAATGAACGTACAATATATAGTTTGTATATTATTGTTTGTTCTTCAAATTCATATATGTATTTATCATTTGTACATAGCAGTGACAGACCTGGCAGTGACAACTCACCTACGTTTAACAATCACAGTGAGCTGGGTGAAGTGAACACATTTTAATATTTATATGAATAAATTTTGACAGCGAGTTGCGATGGAAGGAGTTTTATCACATCTCAAACTCGGAAATAATTTGATCGATGAAACAGAAATATTAGTTTCAAATGTAATGAGGTTTTCATGATAGTTCGAAGTTTGTCTTGCATTTTTTTTTCTGATTCGGTAGGAAAGTTCATGACAATTTCTCCTTATATGGAGGTTCAAGTCTCTCCTGCCGGTCAGTTGCACAATGATTTTAAAATTCGTTTAAAAATGGTTGAAAATAAATTCAAAATAGGGTAGGGTAATGGGCTCGGGGTCACGCTACCCTGGAACGTTTTAAAAAATAGCTGCTGTCAGACGCATTCTCTTGCATTTTAGAGCCAACACCGAGGGAAAATGAAAAGTTAAATGTTGCCATGACTCTATATTATTTTGCAAGTATTTATGTATTTGTTATAAAACAATTCACCCTTTGAGCAGTTGTCAGTAGATGGAATGTTTATCATTTATCGTCAAGCAGTCAGGACGCAGCAGTTTGAACAGTATATTAAACTCTATACTAACATCTGCAACTTGTCATAAATCATATGTTCCTTCTTCTAAAAAATTATAATAAGAAAAAACACTAATTTCACGTTTGTAACTTACTTTCTCCGAGTTCTTGGCAGCATGGCGTTGTTACACCGCCTTCAGTACACCAGGAGGCAGCATGGTAGGCAATCCACTTGACCTCCTTCATTTAACCAATTTTACAACATCTCCGATTGCCTAACTGTAAACATGACATATATCTGGGTTCCTATATGCTCGATGTCAGTGTTTGTCATCCCAGGACCCCAGATGAACGTTGAGGCTCCTTTTCCTTCACCTTATACTACCATTTTCACGACTCACTCATAACAGTACAACGTACACCAAACTCTCGGTATGGAACTAATTAATAAAACTTAAGAAAATAGTTATAGCTACTCTTAGTGCTCTATGTGCAGTCTGGTGCATGTTTCAGGGTAACACCTGGTCCTAACACACCCATTTTGTTACAGTGTTCCAATGTTTCCGTTTTATCTTTTCATTCTCTCCGGTACGATATCCATTATCCTCACTGTATTCTTATACAGTACACGGTCAAGGTAAGTTTTGTTTCATTTTTCCTCGTCTCATATTCTGTACCTCGTCTACAACACTGGTATCTTCTCTTGCTTATTGTTTTTACGCATTTTTCCATATCGCCATCAGGAAATGGTGATGTCACATCACTCTCTTCTGAAGTCGATCTCTCAGGATCAAACCTGCTGCTTTTCTTGTAAATCTACAAATATGTTTTACTGTTAACCCAGGAGCCTATCCCCTACCCATACACTCACACAAGCTCTTTTACCTTCAAGGTACAGTCAACCAAAAAGATGCATCCACCTCATCCTGGCTCTCGTACTTGCAATATTACTTTGGTGAAGTAAGGTGATTGTGATTGGTGGATCTATTTTCGGCTGTATCACTGTCAGGATGAATATTAAACAATCCAAAGGGAACAGTTTTATAATAATAAACTATCCATCATTATATAAGATGATGAGAAGTTTCTAAATGTTCGTATATTTGCTTAAATAATGAAGAAAATTTGATATGAGAATCTTGTGGCAGCCCTGGTTGTAGTTGAGTTACTAATTCATTAATATATGTTCTCCACCATGGATGACGAACCATATCAATGTTAGTAATGGTAATGTCTTCTCCACCATGATAAAATAACCACGATAATGTTAACAATGACAATGTGTTGTACAACTTAGGGATGGAAGTAATGTTCTAGTTATAAAAAATACTAAATCGAAAATAACGTTGTCAAAGATAATTTAGAGGATACTGATACTTAAAACGCAAAATAGAAGCGTGACCTTGTGTTACGTGACAAGGAACATCTAAAAAGTGAGATAATGCTTCTTATCCATATACCGACAGATACTAACTAAACACCGTCAACACGATAAGGTATTATTGGTTTGTAAAATTGTTTTTCTCGATAAGATGTATAGTCAAAATCTATGATACTGAAGCTAGTTCGAACCAGATACGATACCTGTACCACAGTATTTTCTGCTTAGTAACAGAGCCATCACACCATCATATTCTTCACTACTTTACTGCAGTGCCAGGATGAGCAAGCAATTTAAAAGGTGGAAGACATCTAGTTGTTATTTTCCTCTTTATGATTTCTATGTAGGTTCATATCATATAGAAGCGCTGTTATGACAAAAGAAAATAGTTTGAATTTTTATTTACTATCTGCCTATTATCACACACACACACACACACACACACACACACACACACACACACACACACACACACACACACACACACACACACACACACACACACACACACACACACACACACACACACACACACACACACACACACACACACACACAGACTCACACATTCCGAGGCTCTAAAGGGAGGAGTGGTGGGCTGTCATAACTTATTCGCACGCTTGCCACGCTACTCTCAACACCAGGTAACAATTTCCTCAGCTCTGAACCAGTTGTCAAGAGTAGTCTTTAATAACAGGTATAACATTAACAATATAGTAATTATACTCATGTCTTCAGTGAAAAGTTATGATTAGTAAAATACATGCGTAATACAGTATATATTCTCTTTAGCTTGGCGGTAAGAAGTTTATTATCCTCCACATCATTACACACCACAACGAATGAATACAAACCAAAACTAAGTTCAGTCTGATTTTAGCAGAGACGGAACAAGGTTTAACCATAGGCAGCGGTTCGTTCCAGCTAAAATCAGACAAAGTTCGTTGATCCTTTGTTTTACTTTGCTGAACATGTGCAGTACAAGAAGGCAGTAGTCTACTTGCCACAAGACGATAATATACGTCAACAAGATTACGTGTACACATTCTTAATATCTGGAGATAAAATTACAATGAATTTCACGAAATTTAGAATTTAAAAAATCAAAAGTTCAAGGTTATTTTTTTCTTTTTACCCTTTTCAGGGCTTTAGCCCAAATAAAATACCTACTGTAGGTGCACCGCTGCCCTATATGATAGTGGAAATAAAGCAACATGTCTACTATAAGCTGCAACTAAAGTACAATTGTTTTGAAAACACTTGTACAGGGTATATAAGTCAAAATATAAAGTACTACAGAAAACAAAGCATCCGCTGTTTGGGGAAAACGTAAAATGATAACAGCACACATCCATATATTCTGTCAAAGGATAGATTCAGGTTTTCAGTGGGAAACTATTATTGTCATCATGACCACATGCAATGATGTTGGTGATAAACTTGCTCAGACGCAATATGACTGCCAACCTATCACGAGTACTGAAAATAACCTATGCTTGCTCATACTTATAGTTTAGGTATACACTGTGCAGTAACTAGTCACATTCAGTCTAACTTCACTTATGCGTATTGAGAATTTTTATTAACTATTACTAGAAATTTAGTGACTTTGGCGATATCTTGGCTGTAGGTTTATTATTTTTCTTATTTTATGATGTCATCACATGTTATCAAGGTGACTAAGCTGGGCATATCAGAGCTGTGGCAAGATGAGCGAGACAGTGGTGGTAGAAACGGTGACGAAGCCAGCATTCCTGGGGGAGGGGCCTCACTGGTCTGTGCGGGAACAGGCGCTCTACTATGTTGACATCTTCAACCAGAACCTCCACCGGTACCACCCAGCATCACAAACACACTCCACCTTGCACATAGGTACTGTTACTGCTCGTGTCCCATCATACACTTTCCACGATGCGCATAGGTACTGCTATTGTCAATAACCTGTCATTCACTGTTCACCATCATGTATATGGTACTGTCACTCATTGTCTCGCCCCATACAAACTGAAAGGATCTCATATTACGGGGAAGCGGAAGTACAGTCACCGACAGAGGTATGTCTTTTTATACTGAAGGGAAAATTGTAAAAATATGAACAAAAAGTAAAATATAAAATATAAATATTTCAAAGTTACAAAACTTGTTTGAGAGTTTATAGAAGTTAATGACAAAATTAATTGAGACAAGAAGCGGCGTGATTAATCTTACTTTGTGTGCACTGGTGCTAAATTATTGGTACTGTTTCAAATAGTAATTACAATTAGTTAGATACTAGTTTAGGTGAAAACATTTGGATGTTAATAGTAATACAATATGCTTTTGTCTGCCATTTTTTTTTAGTAATACTTTTATAGTATTTTGCTGTGTTAACAATTAGCGTCAGTATAATATTGCTCCGGGTGACTTTATTAGTATCAGCACAGATTGACATGAATATAATTTGCTGTGGATCAAGTTTTTGAAATCTTTACTGGTGTCAACATATAAATTCAATTTGTATACACAGATGAGTTATGTTAGGTTAGTTTCTTTACCCCTTTGTATCACCATGTACCTTTACAAAAGTATTGTACAATTAATTAGTACGTACTGTACTGTATTGTACAATTATAAATATTAATTTACTATTGTTGTATTGTAGGCAAATCATAAAAAAATAATACATATATATTCAAATTAATCATTTCATATCTTAGCACATTCTTCACTGGAGGAAATTATTAGAATTGGCACGAGCGAAAGGGAGCTTCTTCTCTCATGTGCGAGGTAAAGTCTGCTGTGTTACTCCTCGAAGATGTTCCCATACTCGGAAAAAATCTTCTCTGAGAACACAGATGAGGATGGCGTACTCAGTATATAACTTGCGGACAAGTTCGCGTATTGTGGGAAGCCAATTTATGTGAAAAATAAGTCGCCACAAACTTACGGCTATCGAGCAAGTAGCAATCGTGACTGATACTGCCATCTTTAGTAACCTACTGTACATTCTAAGTTAGGCAAAGAAATCAATTCTCTGTATACAAAAAATATTTGTCTTGGGTACGGAGTTAACTATCTTCCAGTTGAGAAAATATCAAACGGAAGATTTATATCATGGTTGTACATACTGTAGGATGTGGGAAGACTTTTGTAGTTTTGGGGTAAATTATGAAGGAACAGAGAGTGAGCAAGGACAAACACGTAACCCACGTGGCTGCTATGGAACTTTTAAGGATGTTGATGGAGGAGGTAATGTTGATAGCATAGTTATTGTGAGCTAGAATGCCTCGTGGTTAAAAATACAATTAAGGAGAAATAAATGGAAGCTACCTAAGATATTATACTACTGCAGGAGTACAGGTCTTGGCTCACTGTTAACCTAGCTTTTCTATACAGAAATTAACATCTGGAGTGATTTTGAAACTATCCGGCAAATACGGTATTCAACCAGATAGTCAGATGAACTATTCGGTGAATCCTTGGATACTAAGCTCTTGGTTAAGGGGAGAAACATATGAAATAAATCATTCAATGTGTAGTGGATAAAAAGTCTTGGAAGTTGAACCTAAAGATAACTTTTACGGGAGATAGTCTACTAATTGTCCACACGAATAAAGAATAGTTAAATCTAACGTGTAGAAACCATCCATGGCAATGTATTCAAATTGTTATTGATGGCGTCAACAGAAGGCGGCCCCGTGACCCTGGTAGTCCCCCACAACATCTCCCTCAACACCTTCGTAGTAAGTGTGGGGCGTGACCTGGCTGCTGTTACTTGGCCTGACACAACTAAGGACTGCGTCGTGAGCTCATACAATGTTCTGGCATCGGTTGACCGTCACCACTCAAAAAACCGGTTCAACGATGGCAAGTGTGACGCGAATGGCAGACTGTGGGCAGGTAAGACTATGGTATCATTGTGTAAATTTGTGAATTATACAGCAATATCTTCAATAAATAATATATTGTAATAAATATGAATAAAAAAGGCATGTAATGGAGATCAACTTCGACATTTAAGAGTATTTGTAATATTTATCTCACATCTTCCTTCTTGTACCTCTGTTGCCTGTCATTACCATTCTTACCTCCCCACACCTCTCAAAACCTCTCTTATCTTTTATCTGCCTCACACCTGAATTTCCTATAAGTCACAACTATTTGGCCTCTGTCTCTAAAGCCTTATATCACATCTGTGTCTCATTGTTCCACACCTGTGATCTATCTGACTTACATTTAAGACTTATCTGTACCACAGCTGTTTATTATATTATACACGAGCGTCTCTAATGTTTTTTTCTATATTTCACATTATTCTCACCTGTTCTGTAGGTGATAATATCCACGCCTTCATTTCTCTTTTCAGATTGTAGGTATTGTACCGGCGTAGGGTTGTGTTAAAAAAAATCGTTACTGCACTCAATCAATGGGCTCTCTCATGCCCAGCAAAGCCCTAACGGTCCCATGCCCAGCAAAAACTTTGTTGGGCACGGGTTAGGCCCTAACCCGTGCCCAACAAAGTTTTTGAGCATTTCCTAATTCCCTCGCTGCTAAAAACAAAACCAACTAAGCCCAACAATGCACATGTTTAACAGACCGAATGCACAGCACATACTCCAACTATCCCAATATCTAGTTATACTCAAACCAAGATAATTCCACCTCTACCATAGTCATACCAACGCCCATAAATACCCTTTTCACTCGGTCACTCATCGCTACACCTAAATTATTCACCAACAACAATGGATATTAATACCAACTTACTGTATATCTATATAACTACAAATAAACACTGATATAACTTTGGCTGTAGAAGATATCATGGTATCATCTAGTCTTAGCTCATAGTACCGACGAACAAAATCCGCCATACACAAGAAAGAAAACATAATTCGCTTGGTATTCTCGAATCAATTCCTCTACATATAAATAACATTATTAGTTTTAAAGCTTGTTTTTCTCATTAAGAACTTGTAGCTTATATAACTTCTCTTGTCAGAATAGTTGTTTATATAAGAAGAGTGTGGCTGGTAGAGTGTCACAAACCACCCAGCTCAGCCTCAACCCTAGCTAACACAATACTGCCCACATTAGTCAGCTCAGTACCCGCTCTTACCTGACCTGATGGATAATGATCCTCGAGTGTGTGAGGAGGTTGTTTCAGACGCGTTTTAACATATTGATGATAATTTATCTTTAACTTTATTGTAGATTTTCTGTGTTGTTTATCTACTTGAATATTTTCTCACAATCATAACGACTGATATGTTACATTATGACCAATTTAATGTAACAATCAGTACCAATAGAATATAATTCACCTTTTACTCTGTGTCTGCCTCACTCACACCAGCGTCTTATACCGGTATCACTATTATTGTTATAATAATTACCGATGTGACACGCTCGACTCACATGTTGACGCTAATAACAGGGGAGACCAGTGATATACTTTATTAAAACTTGACGTAATTATAAAATGTTAATACTGTATAAATTTACTTTTTTATTCTGTCGTAATAATGCAGTAAGTGAACAGAGAGCTTAAGATACACAGTGATAAGTTGGTAATATTGTACTAATGTCCACTACAAATGTCATACATTGATTTTAGTTACGTGTACACTGATTCTCCTTCTCTAGCTTTAATAAGAAAATATAATTCTACCAAAATATCACTCATTCTTCCAGTTTACAAATATAAGTGACGTAAGAATAGAACATGGCTCGCCAATATTTGTTGTCATCTTTTCTCCACAAAGTCCAAACAACGGGGCAGACAACATCTCTTTATCTGGCATGTGAAGCTATGAACCTCTCCTGGTTAGATTACCTGTTAAGAATGTGTAACACTTGACATTTGCTTAGATTTGATATATTTAACTGTCTGTCATATTTGTGATGAACTTATAAAGTCTGCCTTGCAGTTGTTACCAGGCCGAATGGCAATGAAGTCTAATGTGACAAAAACTCTTGCCTTTAACAAAACTGACTTTTTCTCCCAAGGACTTCAATATAATCAACATAATCAGTTACATAAATTACATCCACTATTAAAATAGAAAGTGAATATATTAACATCGAGGCATAAAGGAAATGTTATATAAACTCGACACTCACTAGAAGTATGTAAAAAACTGAAGGAATATCCCATTGTATATTAATACCAGACTATCTCACCAGAATAATTTCCTGTCAACAATGTAAAGTAGTTGAACGTGTTGAGTGTACACCTACTGTACATTGTAATAGATTGGCTAAAGGATTTATACCTAATAACTTCATTATAACTCTGAAGCACGGCGAGGATCACTTTCCCTGCATCGCAATAGACGGCACAAGTTCCGCATCTAAGAATCTGAGTGCTCCGTCACGTCGTTGGTGTACTGTAGATTATTATCAAACCTACTTACTCGATTCCATGAGTTGTTGTTGTCAGACGCCGTGCCGCAGTATAATGATAAACTGCACATTAATGCTGGTGGCAGGCAGGGTGGCGCTCTGGTACACATCAATACTCTCACACAGGTACAATGGGGGATACAGATGTCCCCGACAACCCTAACCCCAGCCTGGGTAGTCTCTTCCTACTGGCGGACAACAACACGGCTCCTACAGTGCTCGACAAGGTCAGTACCTCTGCTGAGAACACATTGAATAACACATTATCGATGTTATTGTTAGAATTCGCCTTCTGTTTATTGTTGAACTGTACTGTAATTCATCGTTTTATTACCTTAGGCATATTATAATTTGGTTTACTGCCAATTAGCAATTTAAACCACTTGAAAAACTTAGGTTATTAATGCATAACACCAAGGTTGAGACAAAGATGAATATTTTGATACTTATTCTCCTTTGTTTGCTAACGGTTTGGTTATTGCAGTAACCATCTTCATACCAATCTTTAGAAAAAAAACAACAATGTACAGACAAACGGAATACAATTATTTACTAAATATTCAAACAGCAAGAGATTAAAACAAACAGCAAATACCCTGACTTTTCCTGTTCATGACCGGAGAGATGTTGAACTACGAATGTAATTGCAGCCATGCTAACAAAATGCGTCAATCAACTATAAGAATACACAATCAAGTCTGAATGTAAAGGTACATGTGGCAACGTTGATGAGGCTTTATGAAGGAACCAGTAACTTGATCAGAACAGTTTTCAACAATAATTTTCTGGCCGTTATTTATGTACTGAAATTTGTCTCAAACTAGATGGATGCAATATAAAGAAGCTCCGCCTGTGATTATAATAAATGAAAAATGATGTATGTAATAATCGTTTTCGTTTATAAGTATTACACACTTAGCCTGCTGATTAACACACATGTAGCAAGTCACTTACTTGATGTTGCCTCAAACTAACTACACGTGAACGCACGGCCGTCGAAATTAAACGTTATAATACCGAACAATAGGACACTCCTGTATATGCCAGTACAACAGAGACAGTGTTAACAATACGAGGTCAATCAAGTTTCGCGATTATCTCACGGTTATGATAATAAATATGTATCAATTGGAATAGAGTAAGGTAAAAACGTCCTTTTTTTTTCATCAAGAACGACTGTGGCGAAACGTGGAGGCCCAGAACTTCCTCGTCTTTACATTCAACTCCTTCCTCTGGGCTTAATGTCCTTTATACAATTTTCCTCTTGCTCTGAATACTATTTTAACATTAACAGAACTTGGGTAATAAGATGACTTACAAAGGTGGTGTAAACTCAGCGACACCAATAGATAAGTTTTACTTTGAATAATACATGAAAAGATCCGATCTTCAAAATCCACAAGTTTTCCAGACCAAATTACAAAAGAAAAGTTAGGTGCGAAACTTCCGACACTTCCATCACCAGAGCTACACACCCTCTACCTGTCTCCGTGCCGCCGTGTCTGCCTAGTCTGAGTTTTCTATATTGTAAGGATTCTCAAGTTATAGTAATATGATCCTTATATGACCATTATGTCTTCATATAACTCTATATTGTTACATAAACTTCAGAAGTTTTGTATTATGGGGATTTTCTTACACCAGACCATCTCTAACGGACGGCATAATCCACCTTATACTCAGATCAGAGAGGTGTCTCCAATCACTCACCGACGACTGTGTATACAACCAGGCTGATATAACAATGATGAGTTGTGTGAAGAAGATGTAGACCAATACATCCTTATTTCAAAACTTGTCACATTACTAACATTGATTTCATTAAGGCGTCGTAATTGTCGTTGGAAACTCGTGTCCGACCCATCATTGCAACCTCCCAAGTTCCTGAGTCTAAAAAAATCCTTGTATAGTTATACCAGGGTTGAAAATTACCCAAAGACGAACTTGGCGATAAAATTTACATAACAATTTAGTGACTTTTTTTTTGAGAGCAAAGCTGTTCCTTTCAGTATATGCAATAGGGAGGTAAGCGTTTGTTCGTTTAACTGTGTTAGATGGTTACGTTGGGAGTACGAGTTATGAAAGATGTTTGTTATATAGCTGTTAATGAAGATTTGGGTAAAATCATTTGCCTGTAGAGTTCAGTTCAGGATTTGTTATTCCTTGTGTAAGCTGAACTGAAATAAGTAGTGAGGTCTGTACGCGTAGGTTTTCTGTCATGATGTCTAGAATTAGAAGTTTATGGTCTTGTTAAAAATCCGAGGTGAAGTGTACTAATGTATTTCACAGTCCGGCAACGGATATTTCATAGCCCACGTGATCATAGATAAAAGCTTGTTAAGAGTGTAGTTAAGTAAACGTATCCGTAAGTACTTCATAATATCAGTAAATGTGTTGGAGTATGTTTTCTAGCTACTGATAACACAGCCGCAGAAGTGTTATTTGTGAAGGAGTCGCGTGTTTATATGTCTCAACCCTGAGTCACGGGATAGCGTTTGGCAGCTGTTCGCTTCGTGTAGAAGCAACCAGCTGATCGAGGGTAGCATGTTTACAGTACACAGCAGAAGTTTGTCAACGAGCCTTTAAGTAAATAATTCTTTGTTATTTCACTAGTCGCCTCCTTGTCATTTTTTAAACCAATCTATAGATCATGTGTTCATTATTTTCAGAATATCAAGTGGACAACTGGGAGTATTTCTTACCTTATGTATCATGAAAAGGAAGAAAATTAAATAGCGTAGGTGGTCAATATACACCACGACTGAATACTCCACTTCTCTTACATGTTGAATGAAGACCTGTACCCAGCACATTAAGCTTCATTCATTAATTTACTTTCAACCAAAGGAAAAACTCTGACTGTGCAGCGTATAAGACATTTCTAAATCACTACTTTTAGTCCTTATGAATTAATATTCAAATAAGACCGAGGAACGTACTACCAAGCAGCCAACAGGGATATTCAGGTTAATTTTTCCCAGAAGGCTTTCCTTCAGTTGGAATATGAAGATCTCATATACACACAAGCTGTTGGGCTCTCTTTAGCATTTTGAGAAATGGTCTGTATTCATGGTAAACACAGTCAAAATTAGGGTGTCTGGCAAATTGTTGAAAATATCAAATCTCTTGCGCTGTTAATAAAATATTTGTCATATAAATTATATAATGTATTTGTTTTTGCTATTGTTGTCTGACAGTGGAATGTTTTTTTTTTTCGTATCATATTTCTGGACCTGGGCTATGGATGGAGCACTTATTCAATTATGAATTTGATTGAAACATTGATACACTGTATATGTAGATAATTTCATTAAAACGTGTTTCTACGGATGAAATCTTTATTTCTATTAATCATCATAACTGAACAAACTACATTATTTTATTTTTGGTGATTTCAGATGTACTAGGACCTACCTTTGTAGGTGTACTTCCTATAAAATGTGTGTGTGTTGTTTGTGTACAGGTAAGCATCAGTAATGGGCTGGCATGGAGTGAGGACAACAGGACGTTCTACTATGTGGACACGTGCGAGTACAGGGTGGAGGCGTTTGAGTGTGACTTTGAGAAGGTCAAGATCAGTAAGTGTTAATTGAAGCTATTTTATATTTTCGGATTCACTCTCCGGATGAGGGCGTGAAATATGAGTTCATTTCTTACACCACTCGTCTTGGTTAATACTGATTTCGTCTCATTATAGTCCGCGACATAAAGTGCTTCCATAACAAAGAAGGAATATCAGTTATTCCTTAATATGATTAATGTTCACGTTCTATAACTGTTCAGCCGTCTCATTTTATCTTCAAATAAAAACCATTACCTTATTCATAGCAAGAGAAACCTAATAATGACTTAATAGAGAGAGTTAACTATTTTCTCACACCAAGCTCTTTATTTATTGTTTAAAGATTCTGCTCATATCTCGCGGAAGTGGTTTTTATTTCTGGTTTCCTTGTAAAGTCAGAGTGGAATATCTAACATTATATTATTATTTTATAGTATATTAACACAAGAATAAAACATCGCCTGCATTATTCCTGGTAATTATTCCGAGGTATTATGAGGATGCGCGTAAAGCAACATATAATTTTTTTTTGTATCTTCATAACGAATTTGGGTCCATATGAAAAGACGGACAGGTAAAATGAATTTGTCCCCATAAAAACGCAGTGAAGGTATGAAAATAAGTGAGAATAATGGGGTTAAGTTAGTATATGTATAAGTAAGGTTAGTTTTGAAGTGATGTATAATGACCCCACATGTTGAGTTCTCCCTCAGGTAAGCGACGCACTGTGTATGACTACCGCCAGGAAGGTTTATACCCTTCCTTCCCCGACGGCATGACCATCGACACAAAGGGTAACCTCTGGGTCGCCTCCTTCGGTACTGGCAAGGTAACTTTGCTTTCGGGTGTTGTTTCATTTAGTTTGTGAAGTATTATATCCTAAATGGGTGTTGTTTCATATTGTCTTACTCTTGGGATACCATAACTTATCTTGCAGTCTTTCACCTTAATTTCTCTATAATTTCTTAAAAATGTCATGTTCTGCAGATTAAGTGCCTCATATTTCCTATCAGCAATACAAAGAATTCAAGCTCTTTTTTTGTTTTATCTTATATAGCTCTTAGTCCACAACATATCTCATTACATGTGTACTATCCATGCAATAGTCAAACACCAGTCTATTGTAGATGCTCATTTTGTTTTCGACGTTCTTGTATGATTGTCCAGGCGATATCTCGGATATGTTTTAAGGTAGAAGCCAATATTTAGACATGATACTGACCAATAGTTTTGTTTTTCACTTTGTTCATGTCAGAGCATCGGAGGCGATGTGAACTGAATATACGACCTTCTTGTTTAACATATATATTTTTTAGCAAGTCGATATCATACTTCTCCACACTGTTGTTAATTCTTCTCATTCAAAGATTAGTTCATGCTCGTCAGGTAACATCCTGCCAACTTTAGCAGTGAAGATGACGGGGTGAGGTCCTTAACATGAAGAAAATTAAAAGCAAATAAACGATTTTAATGGAGTTCGGCTGACAATGATTTTGGGGGGATATTCTATAATAAGTGATGAACATCAGAATAATAACTGAGTTTATTAATGATGTCGAAAAGTAATCCGATTCTGTTTAGCCACAACACATGAAACATAACAAGATGCAGTTGATTAATCCATGGACGAAGCTGAGCTGTATTTTCAAAATGAACATAAAAGCAACGCTAAAATATTCTGAAAAGTCTCTGTAATGCACTAGTAATGGATATTACAGACTGTCACGGGAATTGAGCTTTGTTATTACACAAAGGAGATTGTTTTAATCATTGGCGTGAGTCTGGTTACTGCATTTTTCACAGTCCATATTTTCCTATCACTGCTGCTAATTATAATATTATTTGTATCGATATTACTTCTGTTAATATATATTTTTCATCACTGTTATCTGTATTATCTCACAATTGTAGTTTTAGTTACTGTAATTATTTATATTGAAAACTTCATATCTTCCCATTTTATTATTTCACTAAATACTTTGTACTGTTTGCTATTTCGTCCATCTGCATTGTTTTCCCATGATTCAGTCTATCTTCTCTCGTCGCACGTCTGTACATACCGTGAACCAATTCCTCCTGATGTATCAATAACAAACATTACACCTCCATCATATTGCCATCAATGGGTAAACATAAGAATCAACGTCATATCTAATCTTCAGCTCAGCCCTCCGCTCAAGTGATATTATATAAACAAAGATAACTACTAGCGCTTTTTTATTGATGACTTTACAAGGTTGAAATGTTAAAGATTGTTCGCAGGAGTGATTTATTCCTGCCTTTTTCCTCCTCACGGGGCACAGCGTCCGAGTGGATACAACGTTAGCCTCCAATCTTAAGAGAAATTGGATCGAGATAAACCTACCCCAAGTTCAATCAGTCTTGAGTCGGTACCTAAGTTTGCAGCGAAGGAAATGAAGACAATCGAATGCAGTACCACTTACATTGTCTTCTTATGTATCGAAGACTTAATAAACTGTGTGCTGTATCTGCGCGACCCCAAATTAATTTTCTTCATGTTTTGTAAACGTATGTATAAAACTGCACCACAGTATCTCTTGACAATTTTCACCAAAAGTTGTAGTTACCATTAGTGTTTGCGTTAGTCTGTTGATGTTGTAGAAGTTTAAGGTAAAAAAATCATGGGAGAGGATAATATTTTACATTCACACCTCACTGTCCGCGTTGCTCGTATTAAAATTATTTCTGTTCACTTTTCACTTTACTTCTGTTAATTCATAGTTATATTTTTTGCATATTTAAATTTTTTATTCTGTTTACTTTAAAAATTTCCACAACCAACTGATTATTTCCTTTTATCTATTTCTCTTCTACCTTCTTTAATATCCCATCTGCCTATCTCCAACTTGCCAGCTGTTTGTTTAAGCTTAACATGTGACCATTTCAAAGTTATTTCCCCTGTTCTTATCTTCCTTTTTCCAAACCTTCATGTCTCCCTGTCGTGAATTGTCTTCATATTTGCTACTTCCTCTGTCTTCGTCTTTCTGTCTTCCTAAATGCAGACAAACAAGTAACTAACAATACTTCATTTCTGATCCATTATTTCCTGGCATTATTTTTTTTAATCTTATTTTGGTGTAAAAATATTCCATGGGGTCAGAGGTCATATAACGCAATGCATATTTTGAACTGCTTTTTGGTCGCATTTAGATCAATTGACACACTGGGTTAAAATTCCCAATAAAGTTTAATTTTGGGGGTCCCAGTCCACCATTCTGCCCAAATTCCATCAATATAAACCGACTTAGTAAAAAAATATGTATACTTTGATAAGAGCCTTTACGAATTACTTTAAATAGCAATGCAGATTATGAATATTGCGTTCAGTTATTTTACAGAGGCCAACGTTCATGAAAAAAAGGCAATATTATCGGTATTTCGCCAAAAACCGCGATACAGTCTCCAAAAAACATTACATTTTGTTTTCGATTTTGTATTGTTTAAACCATTGTACAACGACAGATTGTGCGGGCCTGACGTATTCCACCCTCTTGAAAAATGTTGGTCTCATTAATGGACATCAGTTCTTCCCCCTGTTATCTCTCTTTTGAATTTATCTTATAGTACAAAAATAAACTTTTCCTTGTGTAATATTGTACTACCTGTATTTTTATTTTACCTGGTTTTTACTTCACCATTTCCTAGTTTTAGCTTCATTTTTACTTTATTTTTACTTCAACTCTTCCAAATTTTAGCGTCATTTCTACCTAGTTTTACTCCACTTCCCTCTAGTGTTAGCTACATATCCACCTGTTTTTTCTTCACCACTTTCTAGTTTTAGGTTTCATTTATACTTTACTTCGGTCTGGTTTTAGCTTCTCGATACTTTGGACAGATCCACTGTGTGAATCCAACCTCGGGTAAGCTAGAGAGATGGGTAGAGGTGCCGGCGAGCAATGTAACCTCTGTATGCTGGGGCGGCCCAAGCCTCGACCAGCTGTATGTTACCTCCACGCAGAAGGGCCTTACCAAGGACCAGCTGGCCAAGCAACCTCACGCCGGAGCAGTGTTCAGGTCAGTATCATACACTGTCACGGTAGTATTTGGTGGAGAGAGAGAGAGAGAGAGAGAGAGAGAGAGAGAGAGAGAGGCCTTCATAACGGCATTCCTTACTTTTTAATTCATTCGATGTGTAGGCCTAGGTTCTTGACTACCCTTTTGGAGGTGAGGTAAGAATTATATAATGTGTTCATGTGCCTATTTATGTGTGTAAGAATATAAATAATCGATATAGCAAATTTTGATGAAGTTTGGTATTATATTTGACAATGGCCAATAAGGAAGACATTTTAAAGGATGGATGGATGCATGTCATAGGTCAGTCACATCTCAAGATGAGTCTTCCACAAACCAAAGAACATTTTCAGTCATTAAAATTATTTATTATCATTAATTTATGAAAACGGTTGAGCGATTCAATAGAAACTTTCAGTCAACTGTAGCTGAGCGAAGACTATTAAGAATTTTGGAGTTTTATCTTCACAAGAATAACTGTTGTCGTAAAAATTGCGTCGTCCACTAACTCCGGCTTCACTACTTGCCCGGTTGGGACCAAAGTCTCGGGGAATTTCCTTTGGGGGTTTGTGTACCAGAAAGCCAAGCTCAATGAGTTTATTTAGTTACACGAGGTCTTGATACTGCGCCCTGTAGTTAATTAGTTTATGTTCACGGTCACGATAGAGCTTCGTGTTGTTTTCTATATCCCAATACAACACACAACTTCTTTTTCTTTATATAATGATTCGATGACATTAAGTATAGTTACCTTTTCCTCCTTTTGAAACAATTTTTTTTAGATGTATTTATATTACGTGCAGGGTGACGGGACTGGGTGCCAAGGGTCATCCTCCTATGGACTCTAACGTCAAGCTCACTACCACAAGATCTTAGAATTAGAATTAGGTGAACAGTTAATCTTGGACTCATCAATCTATAATGTGAGTCCAGGTCGTCTAGAAAAGATACCAACTACAACTGGTGAATGAACTTCCCGTAACCCAAGCAATTTGAAGTTGGTGAGTTTGATCATCTTTTATGCCTGCCCTTTATAATGGTTTATGTAACGCTCTGTTTATCGTAAATGTTTATGGAAGTCTCCTATACTTGATATATTTTAGGATATATAGCCTACATAGCATATGCCTATGTAAGCTGTTAGAATAAACAATTTGAACTGAATAATTGTGATGTGCTAGTTGTGACAGTGACTTACTGATGATTGGCTGATAATTAATCATAAAATAATGCCAAAGTTCTAGATTATTAGGAGAGGTTTCTAATGATACCATTTTCTCCTTTAGCATAGGATACTGTTGAACACATTAGTTATGCACAACTATCAAATGAGCTTTTGTTTTTGTGTTTTCATGAAGGATATGTTTATTAGTATGTGTTTTTTTCTAAATATTATGAGGAATATTTTTTTTCAGATGTACTAAAGATTCTTCATGAAATAAATGCTTGTGTGTATGAGTAAATTATGATAAAAAATATACTGTTTGAAATGTGAGTGTGTCGAGGCGTTGTGAGAGAGGAGAATGAGAACAGTGAATGCAAATTTTACTCCCCGTTATTGCGTGAGAAAGAAACGATTTTCCTTATCTAGATCAGGTAAAGTAAACCATATTGGTAATTTTCTGGGGGACGCTGGCATGGTGTATGAAAGACAACGGTAGCGTAATGTTATAGTTACGATGAACTGAGCGTTTACAAAAAAATAAGATTACTTGTCTCTATAAATAAAGTTTAACATTCAGAAAGAAATATATGGAAGAGGAGAGATACAAGGCAGAAGAACTGGAGATAATCAGGAAGCGATAAGTTTATAGAAAGAAAATGTTAATAATGTAAGTAAGAGTCTCTTTTTAACTTGTCTCTATGGATATGACGTCACAGCCACACAGAAACCACAGAAAAAATGACACATAGCGTACAGGAGTTAACGATTTTTTATGTAATTTAATATGAATTGGAAGCTGTAAGGGAAAGGAAGCATCACAAAGACACACATTTACTGAAGTATGATAGTCTAGACAGATTCATGAACCATTTAAAGCTTGACGGGTTGATGAAAAGCATTGTAGTTAGAAGTAAAAGAGACAGAGCTATAGACCGAGTGAGTGATGGACTGATTTAAGTCGTATATTGTTTGAGGCATTTAGAGTTTACATTAGCTGTTATAGATCATCACACCAATTATGTTATGGATGGCTTTGCTAACGGCGTAGGTAGGAAATATTGCAGTATTTCAATACTATTGTTTTCGGTGCATAGACTTACTGACATTCAAAAACACGACAAACATTAGTTGGAGTTTTGGAGGTAGACCACCAACATGATAGATCAAGATATAGTAATCCGAGATAGTCATTTATATACGTTCTGGGCAAACAGAAAGAACTTCAGTTGTTTATGTCAATTTGCACAGTTATTATAATATGTTATGTGTAGCAGAAAGAGGCAGACATTTGTATTATCACTTACCGCACGCTTCTTATAAATACCGTTTGACCACATCCCGTTTAATCGTTGCAAGCCTATCAGTGTCTTGATGTTAAATATCTATTATTTTTTGTAGGAGATTAAATTGCACTTTTTGGTTCAAAATTGATAAAACTACAGTATTTGCTAATGGGGAAGAGAGAACTACTTCGTCTTTAAAGGATAGAAAACCATTGCTAACTATGAACGCACCGTAAGAATAGGAGAAAATATTAATTTATCTTATATGTTCCCTTCGTTTGTACGGTTTTTCTTAATCTCATCCTTTTTTCCCGTTTCATGCACGTTAACCGTGATCTTTCAAGTTATGTTAATAAGACATTTGCTTCTTGAATATAGACCTGTCTGCTGCTCCAGCACATGTGCGGAGTGTACTTAGTATCCAGTTGTTATAATGAAAAATTGCCACGTCCTTTACATTGACTTTAGCCCCTGTATATATATATCAGTACTACTACATCCTATGCGATGACTCCCTACGCGACATTGCAAACCGTAAACCCAGTGATGCAGTGGAAGCGAAGTCCTTGCGGCAATAGCGAGAACTGGTGTTTGAGCGCGTCTGTCACATGAGTGTGGCGTATGCACCATCGACCAGCACACCCTCAGGGAGTGGCACAATAGCTGTCTGGGCAGCTAGTGAACACCTGTGTTACTTTACCAGGCTGGTGCCTTCGAACAAGGTATTCATATTTAGTATAAATTATGATATATCTGTTGCTGTGCAATAAACATTTTCAAAACTGGAGTCATATTAACGTTTTTGTCTTGTTTCATTTACGAATAAACAATTTTAAATTATAAATGTTTATTGTATTGCTAAGTACAGTATGTTCTTGTGTGGGGCGGCGACAATTTTTAATAGTTCCATGTACAGGATAAGAGAATGGAAATTACATTACCAGTCGGGGGGTGAGTTATTTATTCGGCAGTCCTCCGCTTGGCTCCCCTCACCCGCCGCCAGCTCCCATAAACACAGCCTCTGCACTCAGCTGACAGAGGAAACATTTTGATAATAAGTCCAGCTTTTACCTACTGGGAAAAGATATGTTTATACAAATGGACTTTGTTTATGTGGGGAAAGATGTACACGAGAACCATTTCTGTTCCACCATTTTTGTTCAACGAGGCGAGAGATGTGGGGAAGTAATGTATAGATTTGTAGGAAGCATTAGTTTAGTTCCGATTTATCGTGTGATATAAAGAAAATAATGGGCCAGTATGATTTTATAATACTTGATACACGAAAAAATATAAGACTCTAAGCAAAAAAATATGTTTTAATCTTAATCCTAATAATTTGTAGAGAGATGGTTTCAGCTCGATGTACTCCTCCTTGAATTTAAGATTTTCCTTTTTTTTATACGGCCTGACTGAAAAGGTAGGATTGTGTATCATAAATAAATTAACTATAATTTCTAAATATTTCAATAATTATGGGGCTACGTGAAATATTTCTCAGCAAATTGTGCTGTACTACATGAATCGTCTACGGTCCTGTCCTCACTTCTAAATCCAGCCTAATCTTCAGGCTGACAGAAATGAATATGTAATTTACGACATGAAAGGGGCTAATTGGTTTGTAATTTTACAGTAATATTACAGTTTTCTCGGACTTTCATTTTTAATATCTATCGTGAATAATTACAAAGTGGAAAAACCGCAGGTATATTAAAAAAAATCTAGGCCTTACATTCTATATGGGCTCATTAGTGTTCTGCATATGATAGGTCTATTACCCGGTGTGCCACACTCCTCGGCATGTTGCAGATATGGCTACGGTATCTGTATTCTTAACAAGATGACACTTACACTTACCCAACTGTCTTGCAATTTGTCGGAGTTGTTTTATATAGTCTTTTATGTTGTACTCATAGTGACATTAGTAACCAATAATATCCTCGCTCACTGACGTTACAATATAAACGACCATTAAGTGAATTCATCAATTTAATTATAAACTCTGGTATGTTAATAGTGCTTGAGTAAACACAGTCATTTTATAATTACATAATATAACGTTTACCAGAAACGTAACAAGAAAAAGAAAGTAAAAAAAGGCATTTACCCTCTCCCTCGGTCTGTTTCCAGGTGCTGCGCTTCACCTCACATTATCTATTATGGAAAACGGAAATTCATCTGTGTCTCGACAATATGTCAAAGAACAAATTGCAAACTAGGTTTCCCAGGCAAAATATGAACTAAATGCGGTCACGTCGAAAATAGAACACTCAAGCAATTTCAGATAAATTGCTTTATAAATACTTGATTTCACATAGTAACAAACGAAAACTTTCTGGTCTCTTTCACAATTGACTTTCCAAGTCAACATTTTAAGAGACATTTTGTTCCCAATTGTGGTACAAACCTGATATACAGTGAAGAATTATATGTTTATGTCACAGTAAGTTTGGTCACTATTTAGGGCACAGATCTATGTAACCATTTGTAATATACAAACCTGCATTTTGATAAACACGACGTATAAATACATGATGATCATGATGACGTTGATCATAATCATCGTAACTTTGATCAGGATGATATTTAAGGACCTTAAGGACCTTAAGGACCTTAGATGTTAAGGCAGCATAAGTGCCTTATAAGATCAACAACATGTAGCAACTATTCAGCTGATTGAAACACCAATTTGATGCAATGGTATGTGAGTTAATATTCTAGTCAGGAGTGTTCAGTTTGTGGAGATCAAACTCCAACTATCTGACAATAATCTTGGTGATGTGTTAATTCAACGATGTCCTCATTGTGTCCAGGCGAGAACTTCATTAGGTTAGATAGATATGTTCAGTATTATCAGTGAGTTGGTGTAAACCCCTGCTCGAGCAAGAACACCCAGGAACGAGAATAAGGTAAACGGGGAAAGGAATTAGCATTACCAAGTGAAAAATAAATATTTCTTATCAAATGTAACTTTCGTGAAAAAATAATTTGTCATCACCATGAACAGTCTTAGGGTAAAGAGAAATAAATGATTTATGAAGATGAATTTAAGTTGTTTTTTTAAAGCTAACACTAACATACCAAAAGTATCTCTTTAACTTTATTGCTGATGTAACATACCCAATGACGTAAGACATTCTTAACTTCTGGATTGCTGACATCGTGTCAGCACTTGTGACGTTGATACCTGTCTGTGTGTGATAGAAGCAACAGGATTCAGGGAATGTCAGCTAAACTACGTTGGTCATTTTATTGACCAGAGTGATAACTACCGTGTCTAATATCTTAAAAGTCACTGAGGCAGTACAAGCGCCACTTGGGTGCCCCACATTTTTTTTAAATTGAGCTACAGGTAAGTTATGTATTTAAAGATTATAAGTAAAATTTCTTGACAAACTTGGCGAATTTTATTAATATTGAAAATTCAATCTAATATGCAATATGCCAGGGTGAATTGATTGAAAAAGCAAAAACATCCAAATGCATATTATTTTGGTGAATAAAGAAAGATATAGGTAGTGTCCCTCATTCTCCGGGGAAGTGCCCCCCTAGTGCCGGTCAGCCTTGAGCCTGGGGAGCAATCATTATTACAGTACAGTGGGTAGCTGCAGGTATAACTTACGAAAAATTCTAGTTTGTTGTAAAGAAAAATATTGTTTCTTATTAAACCAAGTTTTCCGAACTTGTTCACATCTCCATCATCTCTCACTTACGTTTAAAAGTATGAGTCAAAATTGTCAACAAAGTTAAAGAGCACCCGTTAAGCGTGGTAGAGATTACACATATAAACTTGACATGATTATACACTAAAAATAGACTTTTCAATCCTTCAAAGTCTTTATTATATTAAATGAATTTCCGAACAATGAATAATTTATTTACCTCGTATACTCATTTACATTAATCTTAAGTGACTATCACCATCACTCTCACATGGGATCATCCACCATAACACACTCACCATTACTCTCACACGAGGTCACCCAACATAACACACTCACATGAAGTCACCCAACATAACACACTCACATGAAGTCACCCAACATAACACACTCACCAAGTTTTAAAATCTGAGAAGCATAATCGCATTTCGCTGATAATTATCAGCGAAATGCGATTATGCTTCTCATATTATAATATGATAATATTATAAAGGCTCATATTATAATATGAGCCTTCCTCCAGCTCACCCGGGCACAAGTCATTCACCCACATTGGGGCCTGGGGGACGAAAATTTAATAATAATAATACTAAATTCCTCGTAGTTATTGTTGATGAGAAACTTAACTGGAGAAACCACATACAAGCTATTCACAGTATCATGAGACCCTGCAACTGTGTGTAAATGAGCCAGAAAGTCATATCACCAACCTGGAACTTGGTCACAATTTTCGGGCTGATATATGGCAGCAGGGTCTACCATAGACAACACATTATGCTTCCAATCTTTCCAGGCAGTAGTACCTCCCTGTTTGGTGGCTGCCTACTACCTACTACCTACAAGCATCCAGCCATCGTGTATCATAGTATCCATCGTCCAGAATGAATAAAAGTAGATATAAATTAAGTTAATATTGCAGTAATAATGTTGATGAACTGTTATCTGTAAAAGAAGTTTGTTATACATGTGTGTGTGTGTGTGTGTGTGTGTGTGTGTGTGTGTGTGTGTGTGTGTGTGTGTGTGTGTCACTGAATAAACTTATTCGTCATCCATGTTATATATGGTTAAAGAGCTTTGCATCATCTCCATTTTTATTAGCAGATCTCCCTTGGGGTAATCCGTCTTATCGTAATCTAGCACTTCCTGAAAATTCTCAGTCCACGGCTTTGGTAGCCTCAACTTTTGTCGAGGTCAAGTCCCCGGGGTTAAAATTGCCAGGGATTCTAACGTAAAGTTCTTCCAGCTTTTCTGTTTTATGTGTTCCAAAAATTCCCTTCAGTTGGTATTCTCTCTCAATTTAGATGTATGATATTAAACTACCGCTTTCAGGTTAGCTCTCTTCTTCCTCACCTGGCCTGTGTCGATACATTTATGACTCATGTAAAATTCTGTCAGCTAGTTTATGGGTTAAATGTTGTTTTTTTCTCACATATTAAACCTAAAACCTTTAACTGTATCGCATAATTCAATACATTAATAAACTTTTGGTTCTCCCAACAACCTTTTAAGGTTTGAAGGGTTTCACTTCACTCTGATTTCCAGAGTTTCATTTTATCTTTTGGCAAATAGTAGAATTATTTTTTTTCGTAAACAATTTCTCTTATTTGACGACATCAACGACATTTTATTCACTAACATCAATATATTCCGTAGAACAATTTTAATAATATTGATTTCGTTCTTTTGCACAAGTCACCAATAATGATCATAAAATGGTATTCCTTTTTCTTGCAGACTTCAGAAATTCTCAGAATTTTTCAAACTAAACAGCTTAGTGGCAACAAGGTGCGGCATCTCCCTGAATATTCTGAAGCTTATATCTATCGAATGTTAAAAGAACCAGCTTCACATTTCATTTGACTTTCAGAATGTTAATCTTTATACTCTTATGGTTAGGAACAGAACGGAGATAGGTTGGACACATGACTAATTGTTTTGTGGAGGAATATGACTGGACACTTCTCTGCTTGTGTTGAGGGAGGAGGAAGGCTGGACATTTGTCTCTATATGTGTTGTGGAGGAGGTAGGTTGAACATTTATTGGTACAAACACGATTACGTAGAAAACCTCGCAAAATCCACATTCACCCTTCCCATGCCTGATGACTGCTGGTAGAGTCAAGATGCTCTTCAAGAAGCCGCTCTTCAGATCATAGACGGAGGACGTAGTGAACACGAGGTGCCTGGATTAGTGTTCACCACTATGATAAATACTGTGACACAAACTACCGACACGGCCAGAAGAAGTGTCTGATTCGGCTCGGTGATGTAACCTTTTCCTTGCACTCATTCAGTGCCGAATTTATGGTGATAGAGAGACTAAATCTTTTGAACACAATGTTCCAATTGGATAACTTAAGATTTTAACTGAAAGGGGCAAGGCATTAATAATGTACTGCACCTTGCGGGTTGTATACAAATTATTACCAGATATATCCTTACAACAAAGTTTGTTGATGTATGTGGATAGCACACAAAATTACCCACAATTTTTACTTCATAATTCTTTGGACAACAAAACCTTAGGACCAATACTCTATTAACTTATAAATGGCCGGATTGGCAGTTCAACAAGGATAAGGAAGTTTTACATCCTTGCATTGCTCTATGAAAAAACCTTTAGTAATAATTTTTCTTTCATTTAATTTACCCTCCTATGATTCAGAAACAAAGGAAAACTCGTTGACATGTCAGTTAGTAAAATGTTTGAAATTTCGAAATGAGAAAATTATTAATTATCTGCCAAAACTAAATTTATCCTGCTAGCGCATACAATAAAAAGAAGTCTATTAGGGCTGCTTCTATGATTCATTGAATGGAATTAACATCCTGTATAACAATATGATAATGTTCAGTAACTTAGGGGCTTTAGCATAACAAATTCAATATCTAATCAGTTATAAACCTTCAGTTTTTAGGTGACTGTCCACATGTCTTATTTTATTTCCCAATTCTCAATAAATCGCAAAACACTTCATTACTTACTCTGATAAACGTATAATGTTAAATGCAGTCGTCACACTACAAACATTTGAATTTGCCAAATGGCGATTAAAATAATTTTACTTTGGATTCAAATATATTCCGTATTTTTAAGACTTTCAACAACTTGTATAAAAAAAATAAAATAAAAATCGTTACTAGACAATGAGGACAAAGGTAAATTTGTCGTCTAAAAATTACTTGAAATTTTGCAATGGGAATTATATGTTGTCATCCCGATGTTCTTGTTTTAATCGTTCTGCAATATATGAGTAAACGATCGGATAACTGCCAGTAAAATACATACCTTCAGGCCAGCAGCTGTGGGTGATGGCCTGATAATGAGGTTCGGTTCATAGAGTATTTAATTTAAAAATGGTAGCCACTGTATAAAATCTTTATATAACTGAAGGGAACAAAATGGTAAGATTAAACCTTTATAACAATTTAGGGCAGATAGTAAGACTAGCCAAATTTAGTGACTCGGTAGTTACACAGCTTCTAAGTATCATCTCAACAAAATGCGTAACTTGCCTTTCCCATTTAGATCTTTCCGTCGTTTCACTTCTTGTTGAACTTTGACGAACATGATATTTTCACCTGTATATGTCTAAGAGTCAATGGCCATCATTCAGAACAAAAACAATGACCTGTAAACAGACTGGCTGTGTCCTGACTCGTCTTTATATCAATCACTTTCTCAGCTTACTCATACTGCCGTGAAGATTTAACTGTCTACAGTCTCTTTCTCTTCACATGGCTCACATATTCTCTTCTATTTCCCTCCATGAATTCACCCGGAGAGTATTCCATCAATTTCTGTCTATCTGGAGCGCTAGAACAAAATTTCCGGTGAGGCAGTGAGTAACTTTTCCTTGTTATTCTCTGGAAAACAAATAGCGTAACAGCTTTACTTTTATTTCTTTTTATTAATACTCATTTTATTTCTTATATTTCTTTAGGCTTTCCTCATCCTTTATCCAAAGCGCTAAAGACCTTTACAGATACACCATTCGCATATCATTAACAGTTTGAATACCAACTAGGGTTGGCAAATGCAAGTGTTTAAAAAAAAAAAGGTTTTAATGCTATTATGTTGGTTTTAATAAATTTTAAGTAAAGCTACATTAAAATTGTATTTAATTCTGTTCCAACTGTTATTTTCATTAATAAAACAATACTATTATACATTTATTTTGTTTTGTATTCTTCCAATAAATTTTAATTATTTAAAGTGATTTGTTCATTTATTAAGTTTGATAATTAATTTACCCATCTTAAAATAACTTTTTCATGCTAAATATAAAATTATTTATAAATCATTGTTATCGTCTCAGACCACATGTCTTCCTCAAGATATTGTTTCATTGTATTAGTAATGTTGGCTACTTTAGTGATTAAGA